GCACCAAGCTATTCAGCACCAGCCGCTCCAAGCTATTCAGCCCCAGCAGGTCTAAGTTATTCAACACCAGCCGCTCCAAGCTACTCAGCCCCAGCCGGTCCAAGTTATTCAGCACCAGCCGCTCCAAGCTACTCAGCACCAGCCGCTCCAAGCTACTCAGCACCCGCCGCTCAAAGTTACTCGGCACCCAAGGCTCCAAGTTATTCAGCACCAGCCGCTTCAAGTAATTCTGCACCCGCTGCTCCAAGCTACTCAGCTCCAGCCGCTCCAAGTTATGCTGCACCAGCCGCTCCGAGCTATTCAGCACCAGCCGCTAAAAGTTATTCCGCGCCCAGGCCTCCTAGTTATTCCGCATCAAAGGCTCCTATTTATTCAGTTCAAAGCTATTCAGCACCAGCCGCTCAAAGTTATTCTGCTCCAGCTGCTCCCACTTATTCTGCCCCAAAGGGTCCTTCTTATGCAGCTCCAAGCTATTCAGCGCCCAAGGCACCTGTATATTCAGCACCTGTTGTACCCAGCTACTCAGCACCCGCCGCTCCAAGTTATTCAGCACCAAAGGCTCACGTGTATTCAGCGTCCGGTGCATCAAGCTATTCAAGTCCTTCTGCTCATTCTAGGCCTGCATCTCCGAGCTACTCAGCACCACCCGCAGTCGGATATGTAGCGCCGAAACCTCCTCCACCTGCCGCATATACATCATCAACGGCTTCTGCCTACTCTGCACGTATGTACAATTCTCCCGTGTTGGCATCCGTGCATAATACAGGCTATGGACAAGCATCAGGTGGCCATGGCGGATCTTCAATTCCAGCACCACCTTGTCCGTCCAACTATTTATTAAGCTGCAAAAGCGTCTTTACTCCTGCCCCGTGCAGTCAAGGCGCAGCATATTAGGCCTCAAAGTTGACCGTTCGATAAATAAAAAAAATTATGACAAACATTCACATTTAATGTTCATTCTGCCTGTGGATAAATAATGCAATTCTACTTTAATACATCAAATTTATTTATATTTTTTTATATAAATTTCATAGCATATTCGCAACAGATTTTGTGCACTCCTTGCATGCACTCGCGCCTCACCACTCTTTCTCTATCACTTGTTCACTCACTTTGCGGTTAAAGCTACATACATACATACATACATACATGCAACAAATCGTCTGGTTTCGGCCACACTCTTTGGTTTATGTTATAGCGAAGAGTTTACTCAACGGTCTCGCTCTCGGTCGCTCGTTCATTTTCTCATTATCTACCGCTATTCTGCTCGTGCTATGCGTATTCTCTCAGACGACGATAGGCATCCATAAACATCCCTGTTGAGTTTGCGAGTTGCTTTTACAGTTGATATTCTCCAGTTAAGCTGTGTGGTTTGTGTTGGTGTTGCTGCGGCTGCTGTTGCTGTTGCTTTAGCTGTTGCTGTTGCTTTAGCTGTTGCTCCTGACTGTTGCTTCTGTCGTAAATTTTAGCACCAACAACAATAAGAAAAGAATAATTATTATTTTTAATTTGATTACTGTCAAGATGAACAACACACAATCACATCCAAAGACGCAGATTGTGTGGGATGAATTTCTTACCGTGAAGCTGATCAGGGCGTATAAGGCGCAGAATATTCTGTGGAATCCAGAAAATCGTGATTTCCTGCATCGCAATGAGAGAAACGATGCTTGGAAAGAGATGGCGGATACTATGCAGTTGCCCATACACGATGTTAAGAGAAAAATGAATTCGCTAATTGCCGTTTACAGATCACAGTATCGCAAGGGTGTTACTAATCCTCGCTGGTGGGCCATTCATATGTCGTTTATACAGCCGAAGGTAAGTCGTAAACACACACACTCAAACAAACAGATATAATTTTGTCTTTAAAGTCACATAGAAAAGGAATCATAACAGAAACTACAAAATGTTCACACAAATAATCCGTTTTGACACATTTTTAGCTGGCATTTACCTATGTAGATACATGCATGTGTATGGGTTACGCGAACGTAAGACAAAACAAAAGGGCGCTAAGTGCGAGAGGCTAGCTCGCTGGAAGCGAGCACGGCAAACGAAAGAGCGCGAATAAAAACTCGTAACGATCGTACTTAAAGTACGTGCGTGTTTGAGAGAGCGTCAAAGCCATTTTCATTGCCTATGTATGCATGTAAATGGTCAAGTATGTCAATTTGCTGCAAAGTGCTCATTATGGTTAATTTTAGTGAATGCTTATGCTCAAAAGAACGATACTTGTGTCCGGTATTGATTTTAAGCACATAACTATCGATATATGTACATATGTATGTATGTGTGTATGTTGGTCTGCTAAATAAGCTTCTTCTGTTAATTGAATGCGTGTGTTGACTAGAAAATATAGCACGCACACTGGTATATTTACGTACATACATACGTACATAGGTATGTACATATGCAAATAAGAAAAGTATGAAATGTGTGCAAGATACATACATATGTATGTGCATACATATGTACATATATGTAAGTATGGACGCACTCTTATTGCATTGCAAGAAGCTCTTTGATATATTGTAGGTATTCATTGCATTTGCTGTTGAATACATATATGTATGTATGTATTTGTTTATTTATTTCTTGCTCAAAACAAAAGCAGAAAAGTTCTCACTTACGGCTTAGCTCTCTCTCTCTTTCTCTACTTTTCTGTTACGCTCTTGTCTTACGTTAAGGCGAGCGCGAGTGATTTTCTGATAAGACACTCGGCTAGCATGCGAGCAGTCTCTGGTTCCATGACAGCGTAAATCATGTTTTATTTTGTACCTCACATCAAATGTGACAGCAATGCGACCCCGTAAGAGGGCAACGTAGCTTTTATTTTAATTAATCTCTTACAATCTAATGTATAAACAAATTCAGTATATACATATATGTAAAAACATAAAGAAAAATACGAATAATTTTACAATTGTTGTGATTCGTCTTTTTTTTTTTTTCAGTTGATTAAAAAACCAAACACTTTCGATCATTCCGAAGGTAGCAACAATTCCATTGAAACCGAGACCTACGACAGCGAACAGGAATTTATATCAGCCGAATTAACGCAACGTCGATATCAATCGGCATTCCATGAATTTCGCACTGAATTCGAGGCGACCTGTCGTGTTCCTCCCCACGAACAGCAGCAGCAGCAGCAGCAGCAGCAGCAGCAGCAGCAGCAGCAGCAGCATCAGCAGCAGCAGCAGCAGCAGCAGCAACAGCAGCAGCAGCAGCAACAGCAGCAGGAGAAGGAGGAGAAGAAGAAAAAGACGAATATAGAGGAGCAGCAGGAGGCCATCAGTATTACTTTGCCGGTGATGCATGATGGTTTCGTACAGCTGAAGACTGAGTTGAAAGAGAACGAAATAGATGAGCAGCCAGAGAACGAAAGTCCCCCAGCGCAGCCAGAGATTGAGCGTCCCTCGGATCAGCCGGGGAATGTGGACAACGAAGATGTGACGCTCTATGTGAAATATCTGGAGTGCAAGCTAAAGCAGTATCCACCGCACACACGCAATACCATCCAATTTAAGTTCAATCGCATCATCTACGAAGCCGATCGGGGACTGCGCGACAAGGCGAGTGCTCCAAAGTTTTCGTGAGTATCATCACAATGAGATCGAGCTAAAACAGTTATCACAGATTTATCTATCCCCAGGTAGACGCGCAACCAAACTACGGAATTATGTTTAATTTCGTTTATCTAATCTAAACGCAGATGCAAAGCAACTGTAAACCCATCGATATGGCGCGAGGATAGCTTGAGTAGTTTCCTTAAATGAATATCAATATTATTATGTATCTGTATGTGAACTATTACTTTAAGATCGGAGACTGCTCAGACTATCCTCACCCCATCGTACTCTTAAGTCTATAAATGTGATTTTATAGCTAAACTTGTGTTCCATATATGGTTATGAATCTATTTAATAAGTATTTTCAAAATACTTTCTCTAAAATATATGAAAAATATATGTATGTATATTTATTTATCTACGATCACTTTATTACCCATTGGACACTTACCTCTGCTAGGAATCTGGAAGGAGGCAAAATGAACCAGCGAAGCCGTAATATCTTGCGAGGAAAATTTTTGTGAATCCCCTGATTCCTTCTCCTCGACCCACAATGAGCGTTTACTCAATATGCATATTTATATACATACACTTGTACATACATATATGGGTATATATACATATACTTACGCACACATGAAACCAAAACTCCTTTTCCTATAATTTGCTTTATTCAAATATGGATTTTCCTTCCTCGAATTTATGCGAAATAATCTCACCTGTTCCTTGGAAATTTACCATCTGTAAAATCACGTTCAAAAAATCTGTGGGTGCTAAAAGAAAAATTTAGTTGTTCTTCTTCTTGTTTGTTGTTGTTTACTTATCAATTTTATTTTTGCAAATGTTTTCATGTCGTTTTACTAAGAATTATCACACTAAAAAGCAACTCATAATAAATCGTACAATTCTATATATGTATGTATATATATATACATATGTATATATATTTGTGTATATATGTATGTATTGGGTGTATATATGTATGTTGTATATATAGTTATTGCATATGCATGTATATATATTTACATATATATGTCTTTATTTGTGTTGTGTTTTTGTTTCATTTCCATTTTTATTTAAACTTAATTTAATTTAATATATGTATGTATATATATATATATTTTTTATTTTTTGGTTTTGTTTTACAAAGTTTTTGTTTATGACTAATTTCATTTTGGTTTGTTGTTGTTTTTGTTCATTATTCTCCTTTTGTTTGCGGTCTATATATTTCATTAAAAAGCACTTATGTATTCTTAAATATCGATCGTTATGTATGTGTGTGTATGTATGTATATACACAAATATATATATGTGTGTGTATGTATGTATATATGACTATGCAAGCGAATATTTAATACAAATAATATTATTTTCAGAATTAACAATGAATAAAAAATTTGAAAACTTTTCTTCAATTGCGCCTTTCTTTGAATTGATCGTTTAGCGTTTATCGATTGGCATTGATCGATAGGTCGTTCTTTTTATATCTTATCTCTTTCGATCATTGTACGTTTCTACTTCATATACATACATAACTCAAGTAACTCTACGCGGAGAATAGGTCAAAAAACTGGTCCATAGATTAAGAGGTATTATTTATAGTATATATGTATATGTATGTGTGTGTGTGTGTGTAAACTATATATATAAAAATATGAAAAAAAAAAAAGGAAAACAAATCAGGAAGAATCTTTTGTGGAAGTTTATCACTTTTCCTTAATGAAGCTGTTCATGATATTGGTAGACCTGCCTTAGCTAAAGCTCGAGCCCGAAACCAGATGCATTTAGAGAGTGCTGCACTTATGGATACCCTGTAGTCGAATTTGTACTATTGCAAATGGTAATGAAAGTGAAAGTGGGAGAAAGAGACAGAGGCAGTAGATAATGAGACCAGAGAGATAGGGATAGATGTTTAATAACAACAGATAAATCAATCCAAGCATAAACCTCAGCCTCAACCTTTGCATAGGCTCTGTCCCAAAAACTGAAAACAAGATTTATTTATATTTTTGTTTTCTTTGTTTATTTTGCTCGTAATTTTGGTTGGTAATGGGTTCAAGCTCATCGAGTCGTTGAACGCCTGCGCCATTGGCCACAAATCAGCGATACGCCAAGCCCATGAACCCTCCCTATACGGCAGCTATTCACCAAATAATTTAGTTGAGCTCTGAATTTTCAAATTTGTCATTCAAAATAGCGAAATGCAGTCAACGGAACAGTTACTCTACCTCTGACTCTCTCTCTCGCCCTCTTCCTCTACATCTATCTCCCTCTCTGTCTCGCTCGCTCGGTCGCTTGGCAGATCTATTTGTTTATAGCCATTTTGTTGTCGTTGTCTTTGGTGACCCCCAAATTGTGGCATGACCCTGAGCTGGGTCGCAGCAAAAGTTCAGCTAAGCAAATCGCCCAAAATAAAATCAAATAAAATAAAAGCAAAACAAAATAACCAAAAACTAAGAGTTTATATATCTTAACCAATTTGGATGATCTCATGGTGTAGTGTAGCTGGCGCACAAGGTTGCCCGAGGCCGAGCGCTGCTGCCGCGTGCACCTATGGAGTTGGTTAGGCTCTGAAAATATCTACATACATATTTATGTATCTAGTTGGAAAATTTCCACTGAAAAAAGATTAAAGCTGAGCTGGAAAGATATATCGATAGATCGATTGGAATATATCGCATTTAGATGCTTATATAGCCGTAGTTCATGAACAAATCAGAGAATTAAATAATACCAGCTTAATTGTAGTCCAGCTCTATGCATAATCGATTAATCGATAACGAATTTGGCATTATAGATTGACTAAGCTAAGCGTCAAACTAGACTGCTTAATAGCATTTGCATAGGGTATGCATATTTATCGACAATCGATAGCTGAAAGCATAAACATTTACGAAAAATCGATAACCGATTGCTTGATAACTGCTTCTACAATTCAGAAGACCAAATTAATCGAAATATATGGAGCAATAGGCATTATGTTCATAGTTTGCTTAAGAATGTCATTTATATTGGACCTTGTAGCGATATCTTCCACATAGAAATTGCAATCAAATCGATTAATCGATTGCAAACAGCACTTCTAACTATAAATCGTCTACTGTTTCCGACTCGAGCTGTGAAGCAACAAGATTTCTTGAAAACGAATATAAACAAAAGAAAAATGCAAATAAAAACAAATTCGTTTTCTATGTATGTAATTATATATACATATATACATATGATATATATGTATATATATATATTGATATATAATTTATTTTTATATCATACGAAATATTAACTAAAATGGAAATAATACATATAGAGTCTTACGTACGTCTAAAATTTGTCTAGTTAAACTCAAAAAAAAAAAAGATAATAATAATAATAATAATAATGGTAATAGTAATAGTATTTAATAATACAATTAAGAAATAAACAGTTTTCCATACAAACTTAAGCTTATTTGTTTTTGTGTATGTCAGATTTTAACAATATGGGGGAGGGGGTTTACTTAGGACTAAACGGTTGCATTTCCGTCATTCCAAATTTTTTTTCGTTTTTTTTTTTGTTTTTTTTTTTTTTTTGGGAATTAAAACAATACTAGAAAATAATGTGAATAAATCGTAGATAATGCATTCATATATATATATATATTTTATATATATATTTATACATATATACAATATTATAGATGTATATAACTAGGTCTAGCAAATGGGCTGCTGGAGTTGCCGCCGCATTCTTTGGAACGAGGCGCCGCCAAAGTAATTAAACAACATAATTCATTACATTTTAATATTAACTTGGTAATTGCAACAATTTTTGTTGTTAATTCTTGTTTTTCAATATATTATTTTTTTTTTGTTTGTTTGTTTGTTTTTGTTTTCTTTTTTGGCGCTGCAACAAAATATAAAAGAGAAACGAAAGCTTACGTTGTACGAGAGAAAATGCGTAATAAAATCAATGAAAGCTGCGAGCGAAAGTTGCAAAATGCAAGAGCTTAAGAGAGAGCATAAGACGCTCGCTCGCTCGCTCTCTCTCTTAAGCTGGCGCTCAGCCAAGTGCTGAGCCGCTCACAAAGGCAACTCTTCGAAAACGCAACACTAATACTAAATGCTCTCTTCCTTAATATTCATAATTATATGCTAGTACATATGCATATGTATATGTCGCTCTCTCTCTCTCTCTCTCTTTATTAGTATATATATGGATCATGTTTTGTGTGTGTTTGTAATTTTCTTTTTTTGTTTTTCATTCTTATTTTCGATTAACTCTTAAGCAAAAAACTTAAATTTCTATCACAGCCATTTTTATTTTTCGAAGAAAAAAATTGATTCTTTTTGTTGTTATATTTTTGTTTGTTTGTTGTTTTGTTTTTGCCCAATTGCTGTTTAAAAAATGTTACAATACTTATACTTTTTCTTGCTTGTTTTGAATGCACTTTTGTTGGTTTGTTTGTTTTTGTTGCTTTGTTGCGTCAATATTTGAATAAAAAAATTCTAATTGCACTTTTTTGTGTATATATTTTTGTTTTTAAATTGCTATTTAATAATCCAAGTTTCAACTTTTCTTTTGTCTGTTGTGCACTGAGTTTTTGCTTTTTGCTTTCGCTTTTTGCTTTTGTTTTTTGCTTTTTGCTTTTCTTTTGTTGTTGCTCTCGTTTGAACACAAGGAAATGTGGCGAAAACTATTCAAGAAATATGCCAAAAATGGTGTAAATGAAAAGAAAAGGTAAATGAAACCGTTATCTATGCTAACCTCGCGCCGCGCCACTCAAACAGTGTGACCAACTTTCAGTTTATTTATAAACTATATTTTTTTTATTATTTTATTTTAATCACTGGCTATTTGGAATTTTGGTTTAGTTTGAGTTTAGTTGCAAACATAATTTGGAGATTTTTTGTTGACTTTTGTTTATGTTTTTTTGAATACCTTGTGGTGGGCGGGCGGTCATATTAGACTGTAGCAAAAATTTCGTTTCTTTTTTAGTTTTTTCATTCTCTTTGTTTCGCTCTTCTATTTCATTTACTGTGACTAGGCGAACGGAATTTATATATTATTTGATTTGTTTTCAACTATTTGTTTTTTTTTTTTTTTTTTGGTTTTTAAACAAAGCGCGTTAAAAAAAAACTATGAAAATTGTGGCCTGGGTAAAGCGGCAGGAACTAGTTCTGTTCTTTTTGTTTTTTTTTTTAATGAAACTGAATTGGGATTTTGTGCCTTTTTTGGAACCATTTGGGCGGAACTTGCAATTCATGTAGGATTTGATTTAAGGCTCAGGCGAGTATTATTGGCATTATTAATATTATTATTGTTTTTTGTTTTTTTGTTTTTTTCTTTCAGATTTTCTTTTCTGGAATGTGAACTGAGCCTTTGCATCGCATCGTAATGCTCAAGTAATTTTTGTTTTCTTTTTTTAGCCCTTTTTTTTAGGAGCTGGCACAATTGTACTTAAGGAATTTGTTGTAGTTCTTACTTCATTTAATAGCATGCTTAAAAAGAAAAATACAATTTAAAAAAATAACTGACGCCTTACCCTAGCCTAGAGTTTTTCATCACTCTATCTCTCTCTCTCTCTCTTTCTCTCTCCCTCGCCCTACTGTCTTCATTTATATATGTATGTGTGTATATCACTCAGCTACTTGAAAATTTGATATACAAATTAATTTTTTGTTTTGTTTTTTTTTTTTTTGTATTTTTTCTTTTTTGTTGTTTTTTTTGTTTGTTGTTTTTTGTTTTTTGCTTTTCTGACTACAAATTCTTTGATTTTGTTATGTGTTTCCACACAAAATGTTATTGAAACAAAAGTTTTGTACAAATTGCGAGACAACTATTTGTGTTTTTTTTCCATATTCGTTCTTCATCATCTTCTTTGCATTGTTGTTGTTCTTGTTCTTGTAGGCCAAGTCGTAATTGCAACACCGACTTGCCGCTGCCCGAAACGAAACGCAAAACTAAGCAAAAACCTAAAATTCAGTTATCCATTACAATCTATGCGAACATTTTCTTCTTGTTCTTCTTCTTCTTTTTCTTCATCTTCATTCTTCTCTTCTGGTTGTCGCTGTCTATCGCTGCCTAACAGTAAATTGGGGCTTAGTTGTTAGCTTAGTAGCTAATTGCTTAGATCTTAGCTTATAACTAATTCTAAATATTAAGCCTAAAAAAAACTCTTTGCTCTTTGTCTTGTCTAATTGTAAAAATGTTTCATTTTTGTTGTTTTTGTTTTTGTTTTTGTTTTTGCTGCTGCATTTGCTTTTGTTGTTGTTTTTGTTGGTTGGGGTTTATCCAGCATCCCTTACTGATACTTTCATGTCTCCAGCGAGGTGACAACCAGATTATGAAAGACGCTCGCCGATTCGCTCATCATGGCCGCCTGGCCGCACGAGTCGCTGCCGCTGCTCGGCTGTGTGGGCGTGCCCAGACGCAGTGCGTCCATGATGACCTCGAAGTCCTTTTGATTCTGATTCATATCGAAGTTGACCAGCTCAATGTGATCAGCCGGACCACAAACACCACCGCCAACGCCAACGCCAACGCCACTGGCACTGACCCCACCACAGCCGACACAGCTGCTGGTGGTCAGCTTGACGCGCTTATGGCTGTTGCTGCCGGAGATGCCAATTTGATCGCTGTTGCTGCCGACGCCGGCGCCGGCGCCGAGCCCCACAACATCCAACGGGCAGTCCTCGATGGCCGAGATGAGCCGCTGCGGCGGTATATAGAACTGAGAGAGCGCCTCGCGCACCAGCCGATCGCTCTCGTCCTCGCTGTTGCTGCGCATGCGCTTCCTCGATGCCGACAGCGCTGCCCGCTCCAACTGCTCGGCGCCCTGGGTTATCTCTGGATCTATGAGTGGCATTGGTGCATTGATCGCGCTCAGCTCACGGTCGAGTATCTCCAGATCGTTAACCAGATTGCTGTTCGATAGATGGCGCTTGCGTGCGGCTGCAGCAGCAGCGGCCATAATCGAGGACGATGAGGAGGAGGAGGAGACGGAAGCAGAGGCGGAGGCGGAGGCAGAGGCAGAGGTGGAATTGGAAGAGGACATTGTGTTGCTGTTAGCGGCTGGGGGCGTGGCACCGTGACGCAGCAACTGCGACGATTGATGATTCTCAATGGAGCAAATGGTGCGTGCGCCGTTAGCATCACCGTAAGGCTTATTGTTGTTGTTGTTGTTGTTTGTGATGCTGTTGTTGTTGTTGTTGTTCATTGGCTTGGCATCGTCCATGTTGGGCTGGAAGAGGTTCTCACGCGCCAATTCCGTGCTGCTGTTGTTATCGGTTCTATAAGTCAGAAAGAGACAGAGAGAGAAAGTGGTAAGGGAAAGTTAGTAGTTTTTATTTTTGTTTTTGTTTTTTTTTTGTGAAAAGACATTGGCAAAACGGTATAAAAGGTAAATACAAGAAAAACCTGTGCGACAATCAGACGGACACAAACGCGCATTCATGTGTGTGTGTGTGCGTATTTAGTCAACGATAACAAGCATCGATAACTTCAATGGCCAATAGTTTGTATCACTATATGCATATAAACAATTTATCGATCAATTTATATTGTTTATGATACAATCATAAATTTGATGTTAACGATTATGATTATGCAGCAAACGGCAACAGTTACCGTTATTTATCAACAATCACTTATCTATGGCACCCCACCCAGTTATTTATGTATGACACAGCATTTAGCACGCTTTCGCAAATGTTATCGATAACTTGTGATGCAAACACTTGCTGTGCTGTTATCATATCAAATGACTCATCATTAGTTAATTTCAAAAGCTCTCGCAACGCCCAAAAATTAAGTAAGAAAAAAGAACCCCAATGTCCGCATATTCTACACACCTCCGCCGTCGTCATCGCCATAAACTGTCCCCAGTCCCGGCCATAGTTTCCCCCCCCCCCCCCCCCCCCCTTCCCATACCCCACAACTGGAATCGAGGCAAAAGTGTCAGCGTGTATTATCGATGTCAGCTTTGCAGGCCAGTATGCTGGTCCGTGGGTCGCACATTAATTAACTGGGCCAACTGTGCGCCGCTTGGAGCCAGTTAAAACGGGCTAACGCAAACGCAAAAGCTGCCGGCTGGCGGCTGGCGGGCAACGGCCGGTGGCGAAGTAAATTTCAGCTAATTTCTCTTTCAATAAAAGCAAGCGACAGACTGACTGAACGACCGACACGCCCCTCTGCGCTGCCCCACACCACTAATATAGCCCCCACCTAGCGTAGCGCAGTTTTAGCCAATATGCCAAAGCGTTTGAAAGAAGCAACAATAACAGCTACAACAAATACAAATGTGAATTAAGGCAGCAGCAAAGGTAGAAGAAGACAAAGCCATCAAATAACGAAGAAGACGAAGAAGCAGCGGCAGAAGAGTAACAGAGCAACAGCGACGCATTAAAATGCGCAGCTGAGCATGTCAATGCTCACTATTAAAGCAGAAAAGAGCAACAAATACAAATACAGAAACAAAAACAAACGCACACACACACTCGCACACACACACGCACTCAATAACGGACAAGAATGGCATGGGCAAGGTGCAAGGCAGAGAAAGAGAGCGAGAGGGTGAGCGGGCGAGCAGGCGAGTGTGTGAGCGCGGGTAGGCGCAGAGGTGCAGGCGCGCGCGAAAAAAATGAAAGCGAAAGTATGTAGGAATCCGTATGAAGACAAAGTGTGCTACGCAAAAATACCCTGTAAACTAAGTGCATGAGGCATATGCATACATAAAAATGTACATATAGAGATTATATTTATATAAAATAAAATATTCATGTATGTATGTATATACAGTATAAGCTCAGCAGTTTTTGGAGTACTTTGCAAATCTTATTCATTTATTTTTACCCGACTCTACAGGGTATGCTTGACATACAGCTGAATTCATAAAAACATTTGTACGACTGGCCATAAATTGTTGACCAACACAACTTAGTGATAACCTCAACATAAACATCTGAATTAATAGCAATATACATACATATGTTAATGTTAATATTCGTTTAGACAAATATAGTTTTTCTGTAAGAGATATTATGCTCAGTTGCAATACTATTTTTATGACGTATAAACATGTTTGAATGTGTGTGTGTGTATCCATATACATTCGTATAGCTATCCAACTATAACTCACTTTATTCCAATAACAATCCACCTCGTTGTTACACACATTTCCAAATCAATTTTTCAAGGGTATTAAAACAACACAAAACGACACAGAAAATATACAACGAAACGTTAAAGAAGCAGCGTTAACAAATCGCTCGCTCCAGAGCTTTATAGAAACCAAAACCAGAAAGCGTACAACAACAGAAGCAGCAGCAGCACGAACAACAACAATAACGGCGCAACGTAACACAGAGAGTCAAAGAGAGCGTGGGGTTAGGAAGTACAGCAGTTGAAAACAACAACAACAACAACAACAAAGAGTAAAGTATATTAGTTTAGTTGTTGTTGCTATTATTGCCTGTTGAATGTGTTGTGCGCGCAGCACCGTTAACTTGAAATGTTGCTTGGGCCAAGAAGCGAAGATAGAGGACGGAGGCCACGAAATGGGAGCAACGACAGCGAAGCAGCAGGCAAAAGGGTAAGCAGCAAAAAGCAGCGGCTCACTGACCAAAAAAAAAATAAATAAATAACTTGCCAAAAGCAGAGCGAAGAGCACAGCGGAGGGTCGCAGCCAAAGCATGTTAAATGCAACGGCAACGGCAATGGCAGCAACAGCGACTGCAGCGCTAGCGCCAGTGCCAGCGCCAGCGCCAGCATTCATTGCACAAGTGACCCCAAAATAAAAGTTGCCAACAGCATAAAGTTGGCGGGGGGGCGCGCGCGACGTATTATGCTGTCATGCTCAAGTGCTTTATCCATCATATTACATAAAATATTCATCTGCAAGAGAGTGAAGGAGAGTGGGAGAGAGCGTGCGAAGAGTGGGAGAGGGCGTTCGAAACTGAGAGAGCCCATACCCACGGTCGCAATGGTTTCCAGCCGCCAGCCGCCAGCCGCCAACTTCCCAAAAGAAGCTTTAAAATCTTTTGAATAAATCAAAGCAATCCAAATTGCACTTGCGAGCGGATCGTTCGGACGGACAAAGCTTTTGCTTTGCTTTTCACTTCAGTGTGACGACATCAAAGCGCTTCACTTGGAGCTTACACTCGATTGCGCTTTCGAGTTCTTCTCTGACAGCAATTAATAGTAATAAAGCTTTTGTCAATGTTTTTGGGATGCCATCGCGTTGACATTGAGTAGCTACAAAAGAAGCAACGGTCACAGTGAGAGTGAGAGGGAGGGAGCGAGCGCACGCTGTGTCTGTGTGCGTGTGTTTGTGTGTACTCAAGTACGCGCACGTGTATATGTGTGCCTGTGTGCGTTTGCATGGCATGCGACCGATAAGCAAACGGTATTGTCCACTCTGCTTCAATAGCAAACTGACTTGACGAAGCAACGTAGACAGGGCAAGAAAGAGAGAGAGAGGGGACAACTGAAGCTTTGCTTACTACTTGTTAGCTTCTTTTTTTTTTTTTTTGTCTTATCTGTGTTTTCGTTTTGCGCACGTTTTCTCGATGGGCTCTGGCGAAATATGCTGCTGTCTCTTGTGTATTATTGTACGTTTGTTGTGGTGGGGGAAGGGAGACAATGCTATGTATACACACACACATATATATACACATGCATACATACACGCAAACAATTCATAGGAAAATTGGGGCATATTATTAAGCGCTTCACCTGCGTGGCATGGCGTGTGCCTGTTTTCCCCTCCCTTTGCCCCCGCTCCCCTTTCCCATAATCATAATATTGTGCGTTCTGCTGTTTTGATTATCATTTCGAGTTCAAGGCTATTAACTTGTGTATTTACAAATTATCCATCATTTGCCTTGGCTTGCCATTGATGTGATCCTTATACAAAAAAAAGGTTCTAGTCGTTGATTGTTCGCGACTAGCAGATACCCCATCGATGATTTAAAGAAAAAGCTTTTTCTTTATAGGAAAATACTGCATGTACATATACACACACACATACGTGCATGTATGTATGTACATATGTATGTAGACATCTCCATCTCTGCCTGGGCCTGCCTGTTCATACACACACACGCATAGATATATACATACATACATATGGTACACACACTTGTACAACTTAATTATACACATTTCTTTTTTTGCTGTTGTCCATTTTTAATGAGTACAGGGTATATGCATTGCACAAGTGGAGCACAAGCGACGGCAGGCAACGCAGTCTAAAAATGTTAAATAAAAAATGTCACACAATCGAACGACAAGTGCAAAAAAGCAAGAAAAAAACACACACACATACACACAAAATAAGAGAAAAAGGGGGGGAACAAGCACAGCGCGGAGTGTCGCGTCTGCAACGTAGAAATGGAAGCGAAGGCAAATGACGTTATAACGGTCGAGGGAGGCGGGTAGGGCGATCAACGTAAAGTCACAAATGTAGGACGACGACGCGCATTCGTTGGTGCGCTGCAGGGGTCGGCATCGAGCCGCAGGAGACGGCGTACGTCACAGACAACTTCATTTGAAGCGGAGGCCGCCGAGGCGAGAACAGAGGGAGAACACCCCACACCCAATCCAATACAAGCTTAGCCCAAGCAACCTACCTAACCCAGAGTCGTAATCATACAACACACACACACACAAACACACGTACATACATATCTACCATACGAAGTATTTCCCCTCCACCACACCGCCGCACACCACTTTACTGTTTGTTGCTCCGTTTCGCTTCGTGTGATATGCTGGCCATGCAAATTGAATTTAAAGTGATTTTAAAGAGCGAATTCGCTGCGGTTGCCCCTTTAGCTTGAGTAGATTTTGCTGCTCTAGTCTCTCACACTCCCTCTCTCGCTCTCACTGATTTTTTTTTTCGCTTATCATCCATTAGTTGTGTGTATGTGTGCATATGTGTGTGTGTCTGTGGGCAACATTGATGATGATAAGCAATTACAAATAGCAACAACTATGCGAAAATGCAAAACACGCGCGTGTCGTCAGCTAAAAACAAATACTTAAGAATGTTCACAAGAATTTATTTATACACAGAGATTGAATTGTGGATAATCGCTCGGTCATATATGCAGATCCATACATATCTGTGTGTATGTGTATGTATGTATGTAGATAAGCTTATGATTGAACAAAGCTTAACACTGCTAATCCGTGAGGAGTGAGTTCTCAGAAGTCCAGAAGTCAGAGATGTTTGCTGTACATACATATCTACATATTGTATATAAATTTGTGTGAATCTATGCATACGTGCATATACATACATATATGTATATGTATCTGTGTACGTATATACATATGTATATGCACATGTATGTATGGATGCATATGCATATGTATATTTATCACTCACTCACAAATAAAAAATAAATAAATTAAAACTCACCCTCTTCCCACATTCCGCCCATCAATTTTAATTGTATAATCTAATTGTTCTAGAATCTAGATGCTTTAAATGCGCGCCCAGACAAATGCAAATGCAAATGCAAATGGCACACGCCCTACGCCTCCGCATCTGTTTGATTCCTAAGTGTGTGAGTGAGTGAGTGTATGAGTGAGTGTTTGTAAAGTAGGCAATCGCAGCTTGTGGTGCAATCGTTACCGAATAGATGAGATGCGCAACAAAAGCAACAGCAGCAACCGCCGCCGCAGCACCACCAGCACCACCAGCAGCACCAGCAGCGCGACAACGGACAGCGGCAATAGAAACAACAGACAATATAACAGAAAACTATAAAAACGTCGTCGCAGTCGCGAATTATTACGACGCCGCAAAATGGGGCGGTGGGTTACAAAATGTGTGCAAAGAGCAAAGCGAAACACACACACACACAAACGAACAAACCGAACGAACGAACCGAACGCATAGGCGAGGGAGCACGAGCAAGTTCCTCTTTAGCACGTCTCGGCCGCTCGCCCAGCCCGACGGCTTGTGTTCGCTCTCTTTCTTTCTTTCTCTATCTAGCTGCCTCGCTGGGTGCATTTGCCTGCTTTTTGTGTGCTTGTAGCAAGGCGCAAGCTAGCAAAGGGGGTGTGTTTAGCAGCCTCAGATGCGGTAAGCAATTGAATAAGCATTTGGTGTTTTGTTCAATACCTTTGAATAACAACAACAACAACAACAACAAATAATAATGACAATAAATCGCGATTCGTTAACTATTCGTAACCGATAACATGCTGGGCTATCTCTTTATGTGAAGAACATTACACACACACACATATACACAAGTACATCAATAAGCATATTAAGTATATAGAACATATGCAGACAACCAATCAGCCAAGCAGGCATATAACACAGACACACTGTACATACATACACACATTTTGTCATTTTCTTTTATAAATTTCTCCAACATGCATTAAACGATTATTTTCTTCTCTCTCTTTTAATTAAATTATCGATTGCTGCTGCTACTGCAAGGCAACTTCAAAGTAATAAGCGCATAGGCATATGCTTGTATGTGTGCATGTGTATGTAACATGCATACTTACAATTGTTTGTATGTATGTATGTATGTACATATGCAAGCGTCTCACTGGAGAAAACATGTCAAACAAAGCAAAACGAAGCAAAAACGGAAACGCAGCACACGAAACGGCAGCAGCAGAGCCAACAATGACGTCGAAGTTAACGTCAACGTCAACGTCGCGTCGCGCCAGCAGCAGCGACAGCGACCAACTCTATGCCAAGCAGAAGCGAATTTAAAAGCCAAAAGGAAAAAACTGAGATTGCGATGAATTAAGTTTTTGGCTGCGCGCAAAAATAAACAAAAACAACAAAGAAGAGCTTCAAATGTGTGTGTGTGTGTGTGTGTGTGTGTGTGTTGTGTGTGTGTTGTGTGTGTGTGTG